AGAGAGAGAGAGAGAGAGAGAGAGAGAGAGAGAGGTGGAGGTAATCGGGAAGAAGCTTTTATAATCGTCCGCGCTGTGGTCACGCGAAACTGCCGCAGCGGCAACCTCAAAACTATAAAAAGCCGCGCGGCTCATTTGAATCATTGAAAGCCGTTCTCCGCGCGTACGCGCATCCGCTCTCGGCGCTATTTCTCTCTTGCTCATACAGACGCTACGGCTAAAATAAGCGAAGTGCGGCGCGAACAAGCTCGTTGGGATTTTTCGTTTTCGGAGCCGAACGCGCGTCTTGCGCCCGCGAGCGACGAGGCGAGCGAACCGGGTAACCCAGTTAGACGAAAATTTTCGATGCGCGCTCGCGCTGACTTTAATTTTAGACGGTATTTTCGCGGGTGCGCGGTGCGCACTTTCGAACACGTGCACTCCGAAGGTGCGCGAGCACGTGTGCTGCACCTCGTTGGTCGTGCGAACGACTAACGTTCCTCCCCCCTCCCGATGAGTCGCAAAAGGCCGCGGTCGGGCGATGAGCGGAAATATTGTCGACCGATCAAGCCGAAAGAGCTGAGGGAGCGCAAGACGACCACTGGCCAGACGACCAGAGGAAGAGGAGGTCGATCGTTCCGCGCGTCTGTTCGTTCGTTATTTTCAGGCAGAAGAGTGTGTCGGAAGTCGAGTGGGCGCTGTGCGCAACGTTTCATACAATAACTTTCGCGTCAGACCGCATTCGTGACGCCGTCATTATATCGCTCGCTTCGTAAATTTCGCTCGGCTAGCAACAATTTTACGCGCACGCTGGAAGTGCGAACAGCTTGCGCGGGGGAACGTTAATATTGTTTGACGAGAAAGTTACTTGAACAGCCGGTACAAACTTCTCGTGCGTGTACGTATGTCTATTGAGAGAGAGTGATGACGCGCGCGCGAGCGCAACTACACAAAGAGAGAGAGAGAGAGAGAGAGAGAGAGAGAGAGAGAGAGAGAGAGAGAGAGAGAGAGAGAGAGAGGGAGACGAGGTCGCGAGTTACGTTCGTGCTTGCACGAGGGGTTGTCTTTATCATGCCGTCTCTCTCACGGCGCCTAATCAATTCCACGTAATTACTTTGGTGCTTTGTGAATGAGATAATTGTCACGCGGGTTACCCTCTCTGCTTTCATTCTGGCTTTCTCTCCTTTTTGTGCATTGCGTGTCCTTCGCCCGGCAGCGATGATCAAACTTTCGCGCACGCGAGAGCGATGAGCAATCGCGATCCAAGCGGTCTGGAAACGCGAACAAGGAAACGAGCGAGAGCAAAAATAACAATAATCGGCGTCGCGCGACCACTCAAAGAACAAAAACACTTTCTCGCAATTACCATTGCTATCCTCGTCTCCCCCCCCTCTCTCTCTGTCTCTGCTTCTTCCCCTGTCTTTCCCTCTCGACACTTCTCCAAGTTACGACAAGCGAGAAAACCGTCAAAGCGCGAGCTTACGTCTGCCGGCAGTGAGCATCCGCGAAGAGATGCTGGCAAGAGAGCAACACAATCGAATCGACTTGCAACACAAAAGTGAAAAAGAAACGAGGGAGGTGGTTATGCGCGCGAAGTAGAGCATAGCGCAGAGCGCTGAGCTACAGTCCTGGTAATGCCGAGAGAGACATCTAGAAGCGCGAGAGGGAAAGAGGGAAAAAGGAAGAGGGAGGGGCGACGACGGCAGCCGATCAATACGGGACGCATCTCCTTGCCAACACACACACATACACACACGTACACACCTAGCTCTCTCTCTCTCTCTCTCTCTCTCTCTCTCTCTCTCCTGCGGGATCCTATCGATTTTGCCTCACTCGCGCGAATGTGTGCCTTTTTGGTACGGAGCAGTAGTCGGAGGGCGGCTTTGGTCAGACACGTGTGCTGCTACTCTCGCGAGGAGGAAGAGGAGACTTTACAACGCGCAAAATATATCGTTAATGATGCCAGATTGTCAAACCAATAATATTGCTCGGATTTATCTTCTCTCTTGACCGTCGACAGCTGTACAGAAGCGAGTCGTGCGACGTCTGACTTGCTGGATACGTCACTCACTGACGAGTGACTCTCCAGAACGAGACAGGGAGGAATCCCTTGCCGATTATCATTATTATTCTTTTTGTTCTTTGTGACTCGAGCTCGAAAATTCGGAGGATTGCGGTGATCGTGCTCTTGCGCGAGCTGTCGTCTAATTGAAGCGAGTCATCGACTGATTGCCTCGGTATAATTTCCTAGCGAACGCCGTAGCCTCCCCTCGACTATTCGCGATACCCGAAGGAACGGTGACGTTTGACGCGCCCGCGCGTATCGGCCGCGTGCTATCAGTGGCCCCAAAAAAGCTTCAGGGAAGCCCTCGAATTTAACGCTCGGCGTGTTTTTATAGGATATGGACGCGCGAACGACCCGATAAATATCCACGCCGTTTTCTCTCTCCCTCCCTTCTCCACGCGACAAAGGGGCCAGAAACGAAAAGCGACCACGTTGGGAGCGAAGCTGAGCGCGTCGCGCGGCTATTGTAACGAGCGTTTCGACGGCCCGTTCGTGTGTGCACAAGCGCGGACATGATAAAGCCCGTGGATGCTAACACGCGCACGGAGCGGCTAATTCGGATGCGCTCTCGTCACACAGTTAAAAATCCGGCCGAACGCGAATTATTCACTGGGCGAATTCGACGATCGTCTGCCCGCGCGCGTCACAAAACTCTTGCGGCTTTCGATAACTCGGCGCGCCCGGCTGTATTGTACCCGATTCGGTCGAAGCTGTTGAGAGCCGCAAAAAGAAAAAAAAAAGCGACGAGAGAAAAAATTTTATCCGGCTTTGCACGATGCGCGAAGTGCCAGCGTGTCTATCCCGTACGCAAGCGGCTGCGCTGAGTGCAAGCATCGAGGGGAGAGCGCGCATGTCCGACCCAATTGTGCCGGTCTATCGGAGTTCAAAGGGAGCATGCGCTTGAAACCCGCGCCCTCGCACGCGCACACGGACGTGGGGCGGCGATAAGGCCTAATAAAGAGACAGAGAGTGCAGCACCTCGGGAAAATCCCAGCTGACCCTTCTCGTCCTCTCGTCCGCGCCGATTCATTCGGGTTGAAATTCGTTGCACAGCTAAGTCTCCGAGTAGAGAACAAGCTCGACCACTGCTTATCTGAGCGGTTCCGCTTCGTCATATCGCTATCGTACGTTTGATTAAGGGGTCATCTCGTATTACGAACGAAAGAAGCTTCTTATGGACAAGTCGACTTGCAATGCCGAATCCACTGATGAGCGGTCGCCTCGCTCGTCTATTACTTACATTCGGCGAGAAAAGCCGACAAGCGCGATCATCCGATGAAAAGTTCATGATTCATTCGATACATGTGAGAATTAAAAAAAATGGATGATAAGGGGAAAGGTCGAGCAGAATCTTACGCAAAAAATTTTAATCTATATTCACAGCCGGTAACAGCAGCCGCAGCACGCTGAGTATTACGTAACGTACGTAACGTAAAGAACGCGGAATCGAACGCAGGAAAATCGTTGAATGAAAAGTTGTAAAGGATTCGAATCACATATGGCGTTTTTATAATTAAAAAAGGTAATATATGTAACGCAACATTCATTTCTCTCTCCATTAAAACTTTGCTTTTTCCCGAATCTCTATAACGATTATTTTTTTTGCTCGTTCGACGTGTGGTATTAGCTTTGCCACGACTGATATTCAGAGAGAGAGAGAGAGAGAGAGAGAGAGAGAGAGAGAGAGATAGAGAGAGAGAGAGAGAGATAGAGAGAGAGAGAGAGCTAGCGCTTGTTTGCTTTACATGTATCAATATTGGTGGAAAGCTGATCGCTTTAAGGGTGAGGGATTTTCATTGTCACACAGATTGCTACGCGTAAAAAAATAAGGAAAACCAAAAAAAATCCTAGTGATTTATCGTGACTAATAATGTTGATAACTCGCGCATTCATCGTGCGTGTTTAGCTCATTACCGAGGCTGCAAAAAAAAGGGAGAACCGTAACAATCGCATTACTCATTCGGAGGAGGTAGGAAGAATGCCTAGGCGAAGGGAAAAAGTCAAATCGGCTGGAGAGGAGAGGTGCGTCCGTCGATTTATCGATCAGACAACACGACTCGCTGTCTTTCCGGTTGGATATACTTTTCTCTTGCGCGCAGACTCGGTCACGTGAGTTTTCAATTTGCGGACGGCGGAGCACGTTTGCTGACTGAATTTCGGTTATAACGTTATTTCCAGATGCTTGCCAAGGTGGATAGATATTTAAATTCTCAGGAATTTTTTTTTATCAAATTATTCTCCGGTGGTAATTGATGTTGTTCGTCGTCGAAAGTAAAAAGAGGAAGTTTGATAGTTTTTTCGGAAAACGAATTGATTGTGAAGGAGTGATGGATCTGTTTCCAATTTTCTTTTTGCTCTCCAATTGATCGCTATCTATCTCGTTTGTCCGTGATCTAGCGAAAGAAAACGAGAAACCTCGAGTGAGCGTAATCGAAGACATCTTCATCGGCAAACTTTTCACGGAAGTGGCGAAAGAAGCGCATGTGAACATTGGCGCTAACGTCACAAAGCGACAACTATGCGCATCGCGAAGTAGGTAGGTACACACAGACATCGCGCGAAGAAGCCAAGGCGAACATAGCAACGATGAATGGAAGCCGCGCACCCTAAAAGGGATGCATACGAGAGCTTACGGGATGTACGCAAGCGCACCAACGTCAGGGAACCAGAACTATCCTGATATCGATGCGAAATACTTTGATCTCCCGATAAAAACGAATATCCGAAAAGGATAATTAAACGTTCGGATGAGTTTCCTCCTTGTGGCTGAAAATTTGGTAGAGCGTCGCGATTATTGAACAATAATCATTTTCCCAAAGAGATTAAAGTCCAACTCGACTCCTGATTAATTCTTCGAGCACCAGAGACGCATGTGATTGTAAAATTCGTTTCAAGAGCCTAAACTCGCGGATGACAGGCGCGCCGTCGTACTCAATTGTATTTCCGGTAGACTCACCTGTGATGCGCGTATCTACTGCATTTCATGAGAGAACGAGGAGCTTCGTCGCGCTGAGGTGAGGCTCCAAAGCAAGCACGGTACCTCACTTGCCTTTACACATGTGGCCGTACTTTTGGGCGGCTAGATTTGCTGTTTACGTTTGTACCTGCAACAAGAAAAACAAGATCGTTACAGCCTTCGCATTCGTGCACACTTGGAATTTATCGCGCGACTCAATTGTCATTTGTTACTCCGATGCTTCGAGGAGTGTGTTTTTACATTTACCACAAGTCGCTCGCTTTTCTATATTCCATTTCGATATTAGAGCGTTTCGCCACTGCTTACCTCTGCCTAGCAATTCTCTCGCGTTTATTTTCCCGACTCTTCTAACTAATAAAATACATACGCGCGCGCGCAAAAAGTTGACTTCACGGATTTGACAGTCCACTAACACGTGGGGAATAAGTGCAAATAGCATTTCCAGATCGTATCATTACGGCGCATGCGTGCGCGCACGGCAAAAACGAGCGAGACGATGTTTTCTTTTTTGTTTCACAGCGTCCAAATTGATTCCACGGCACTTTGCCGCGTGTCATCGCGTTATCGCTGATACTTCGCGGCGTGGCCTGTAGTCGATTACGCTCGGCCGTAATGCGCTCGTCACATTGTCCCTGTTGAAATCTTGAGAGGTTCGGGGCAGGCGTCGTCCGCGCGCGAGATGTGTAAACGAGAGAATCCGATTGACGCATAGACATAGCCGGGTGCCCAGTGTTTCTTGGCAGTAGTTAGCCATAGAAACGGATCGGCCTCGCGGAGGAAGCTCTTCCTCGGCTTCTTGTTCTCGCGAGTTAAATATATGTCATCGACGAGTCCATTCGATGCACCTGGCGCCGAAGCTTCTCGCCTTTTATTCTCGTTGCCTTTGCTTCTTTTTCGCTTTCCTCGCGTGGAGCTGCTGGACGAGCGAGAAATTTCCCATTGGTGCGCGTGCGACATCTGCCGTGATATCTAAGGATTTAAAGAGCTCCCTCGTACGAAAAGTTGAATGTCGCTCGTCGCGCGATTTTTAGCGTAAATCCTGTACCGAACGTACGTAGCGAGAGGGGGAGAGAGAGAGAGGGAGATCGATTTTTCTTTCGCTTCAACCGGGCGAAAGAAAAGAAAGGGCTTTTGCCAGGCTAATTAACCGCAACCTCTGGCAGCGGCGCGTGCATGCAAATGCCAAGAGGCACAATTATTACAGTATGTAAATACAAGTCGTAAATGCCTGTGATTTACATTGAAAAATGTTAGTATGAAGACTAGAGCCGCGCCCTCCCGTTCCTCTGGTTGATCTATTTCTGCGAGCTAATCTTTCCCTCTTTCTCACTGCTTCGCAACGCGCATGAGGGAAATGGACAAGCGTGTACTGTTATAGCACGAAAGCTCGGAAACTTTCTTTGTTGCAAAATTGCACTCCTAGCTACAATTAAACGCACGAGCTTTCAACAAAGCTGTTTTCTCGATTTTTTCCAAAAAAATTTCTTCTTCTTCTTCTTCTTCTTCTTCTTCTTCTTCTTCTTCTTCTTCGAGAGAGAGAGAGAGAGAGAGAGAGAGAGAGAGAGAGAGAGAGAGAGAGAGAGGGAGAGGGAGAGAGAGAGAGAGAGAGAGAAAGAGACAGAAAGCGAGAGAGTCAATCTAAAAATAAAACCTCGACGTGTTAGTAATTCACGTAACTCGATAAGCTTAACTTCCTCGGTGACGCTATACTTTTGCCCTTGTAACTTCTGAAAAGAAAAAAGGCTGTGACAGCATGTATATCTATATACAAGCGACGCTTCCATTCAAGTATTCGCGCGGCCCCCTTCGTTTTGTAAAAGGTTTCTCGCGCGCGAAAAAATTTCTCGTCGAACAATCGAAGAGAGCGAGAGGGAGAGAGAGAAAACTTCGAAATAGCTTGCCACGCCTATAGTTGCAGTCAAGGACAGAGTATAGCATTGGCATGCGAGGAGCTTTGCAAGCTCACAACTCGATCGTACGTGACTTATTCGATGATTCTTTGTTGTCTGCTCGACACACATATACACACCAGACTGGCTTATCGTTAATCGAGTGTACTCGTCGATACAGATATATATATATATATATATATATATATATATATATATATATATATATATATATATATATATATTTATATAGTATGCTCTCCGACTGGAAAATCTCTTGGAAATGTTGTTATGTATGGCAAAGCTCTAACTCACGTTAATCACGCGTACGCATGAGTTTATGCATAAATTTGCGAGGCATCTAGCCCTTCTTTTCCGTGGCTTCCATTCGCATCAAGATCGCTCGATTGCGACAATTTTTTTCACGCTACGCGTGCTCGCATCGACCTTCTCTTCCGCGCACGCGAAATCAACGTAAAGGAAAAAAACAACAAAAATAAAAAAAAGGAAAAAAAACGGAGCGAGCTTTCGGTAATCTTGGTAGAGCGAGAGCGCATTAACCGAGAAGCTACGTTCATTTTCTTTTTCGAGCTTATCAGTCGAAGAGGCCGTGGAGGTAGCGGCAAGGCAAGACACCACCATCCAGTTTCAATCTCGCAAACTCCATCAGATCGCCTAGGAGAGCCGCTGAAATTGCGGTTTCGCTCTCTCCCTATATATATAAAAGTGTATGCGCACCCAACAGCTTTAGGCTGCGCAGCGGTGGCGAACCTCGGGACATCGCACTTAGGCGCAGACTGCAGCCAGCGTCCGCGCCGGGGCGAGACGCGAAATTGGAGTTTGCGTCTCGAGCGCGAGCTGGTCGGTCTCCAAAAATACAAGCCGAAGCGGCGCGACTTTGGCGGACGATCGCGCGCGCGAACGTGCATTGCAGACCGATCGACGCTGCGCGACGTTGGACGGCACGCCAGCGCGCGATCTCGTGATCGCGCGAGGGCTTCAACTCTCCGTCGCACGCGCGCGCGCGCCACGCCAACCAGCTATACCGCTGATGTGTTATTTCGGGTGAGCGGCCGTTATACCTGCGCGCTCCGCGCGTTTAATTTGGGACTCGGCTAGACAAGCGCGACTCGTTGCTGCTGCTGCTTCTGGCACGGTTGCGCGCTCGTCTCTTGGCAGCCCTTGTCTCTGCAACAGCTACTACTGCCGCTGCTGCTGCTGCTGCTGCTGCTGCTGCTATTACCACTGTATATATACGCTTTTCGCCTTTTCTTCATTATTCACGTGCTCGTCGTTGCTACGTTCACCGATGTTCAGCTAGATACTTTCCTATTGTTTTTCGTAGGCAACGTTCGCGCAACTGGTTTCTCGCGAATTTTCGTCGGTAATTTTCAACCGGGAAATTGTACGCAGCGTGCCCTAACGAGATAACCGTCGATTTAAACGGAAGGAATTTCAGCTGGCGTAATGTATTCTCGAAAAGCTGATATATTCGTGGCTTTGGTAAAATTCTCCCGAGACGCCAGACCGATGAATATTGCGGAGCGCAGAAATATCGCGCGTCTACGGCCTGTGTGGCAAGTTGTCATTGATGGCTGATTAATTATCAGCACCGAGCGAGGCCGACGGGCGACGATTTCGCGCTGTTCTGCGTCCGCAGCGCGCGATCCGGCGCGATCCGGCGCGATCCGGCGCGATCCGCGTGCGCCGCGATGCAGAACGGCCGACGCGCACTTCCGAGCGGGTTTTTCGCGAGAAAGCGCAGAGCGCGTTACGAGCGCGGTATACGGAGCCTCTCGGCAACCTCGCTGCGCGCCCGCTTCCACGCTTGCCGATGCGTGCATCGGGTATTAATTCGGCGCCGAGCGGGCACCGCGAGGAGACGCGTTTCTTTTTGGAAAACGTGCCGCCGCCTTGGCTCTTCCTTCCGGTCGACGGCGCGAGTGTGCGAGCGGTCAGCCGGGGGAAAGGGAAGAATAGAGGGGCGGTCGCGCGCGGCTTGCGTTGCGACAGTCGTTACGCATATAGTTGCACATGTCGTTCTGCGTGAAAATTGTCGCGTGCCAAAAAGTCTGGGCGCGGAGCGCGCGACCAAGGCTAAACATTTTCATTATTCTCCCTCCCTCTATTTTTTCCTGTTGTTGTTTTACAAGCTTCTCGTTTAACGATTTTCACGGAAATTGCTTTGAGCGGTGGCCGCAGACGTCTCGCGACCTTGCTGCCGACGCACGCCTGAGGTCGCTAAGCTCTCTTTAGATTTTTGTAAGGGACTTTTACGCTCGTCGTGTACATTATACATAAATTCTCGCTCGACGAACGGAAGACTGCGCAAAGGTTTATCGGCTTCACGTTGCCCAAAGCCCTTCGGATTGTCGTCCCTTAGGTTTTCGGTCGAAAGAAATCAATCTTTTAAACACATGCCGCACCAATGTAATTAGCATCGAGCTTGGGCGAGGGAGATTCGAGGCGCGTTTGAACTCTCCGCGAGTTGAATTGAAGTCGAGTTTTTCAAGAAAATTCCTCGGTTGGAGCTGCTATCGTTGCACACTCTACTTGGTCGCCGCGCTAATTAGGTCGAGCAATTCGCGACGATAATTGACGACAAGGAGGCCACTTTAGTCGTGTACATATTCGACGTCGACTTTGTGGAAAGGAGATAAGCCGAAGAAGCGATCGTGTCTGCGTGGACATGGTGGCGAGTGAGGGGTTCGCGGGACGCTGTGTCGAAAAGCGCCAGGCCGAGCGTTAGGTCGCGACGCCGACAGGATCAGCTCTCCCGAGATTCCCTGCCTTCGTGTTGTTCGTTGAACGCGCGCTCGCGTTGCTGCACGCGCGGTATTTGTCGCTGCCGACGATGCGCGCCGTCGATTCCATTAAAATCAGATGCCCTGTCAATTGGTTGTCAGGCGCGCGCGATGATACGTTTATGCGGTTTCGATATCTATCGTACAAGAGTCTCCGCGCGCGTCCGATTGCAGACGCATATTCCGATGGGGAATGAAGGTTAATTGAAAAGAAGAGAGAGAAAAAAGTTTTCAATTTGAGACCGCCGGTAATTGGTGATTGGAACAGTCGTTAGCAGCGATCATGAAAAAACCGATATTTGGCTAATTTACAGTTAATTACTTTCGAGACGGTCGACTTGTGTGGGCGCGCGCGCGCGTTTTCTCTTGTCGCGCTGGTTGGCTTAACCTTTATTAAAGCCCATTCGTTAAGCTCTTTTTCGTAGAGTGAGAAT